AAGGTCACGCCCCCCCGTGGGGGCCGAGCGTCAGGTGTGCCATCACCGCCCCCGGCCAGCCCTCAGTAAACGCGGTCCAATCCCTCCGGCCTGTGAGGAGGGCAAAGGGCAGCCGTGACCTGCCTGGGCCACAGTGTGAGCAGCAGGACTGGGGACAGACCTGGGCCGTCTCACTGCGGCCCACTGCTCCTTCCTCCCCCAGGAAGGACTGTCCCAACCTCTGGGTGACACACAGATACCTGTGAAAGGTCACGGCCTCTCATCTTTATTTCTCATGTGTCCTTGAACTATTTTCGGGGAGCAGAGGGCTTGTCGTTTGGGGGACTGGGCTTTGGAGAGTCACCTCCGCCTTGGGGTCCCCCCTCTGCTTCAGTATTGGGTCCAGCTGGAGGAGAGGGAGGTGACTCCTTTCTTAAACTCCCCAGCCAGCCCCCGAAAGCAGCGCCTACAGAGCCCAGGAGGACGTTGGATGACATGGAGAGTCCGGCTGCCCCTGAGGGAGAGAAGAGGTCAGCGCAAGGGAAAGGCAGTGTCCTGGTCGCTCGGGAAGCCTCGCCCACCCCCGCCCTGCTCTGTCTTGGGCAGGGCTGCTGCAGGCAGCTGCTCACAGGGCAGTGAGCTGTGGAGGGGATACTGACAGCCCAGGGTGGGCCCTCTGGGAAACAGTGGGTCCCAGATCTTCCAGGAGCCCAGGGAGGGAGGAGGCCTGCCCAGGCTTGTGGGGTTCCCTGTGGGTGACCTCTTGGTGCTCCCCTGGCCCACCCTCAGCTAGAAGGGGCAGTGAGGGAGAGATAAAGGGTCTGGTCGCCAAGAGTCAGAGCCCTACAGGGAGGCAGGTGCTCTGGCCTGGCTCATCCCAGCTGGCGTTTCCATGTGACACTCACCCACTGACTGCAGAGTGGCCACCAGGCTGCCCGCGGCAACGCCACCCCCGTTGGCAATGGCCGCTGCGGACATCATCTTGGCTGCTATAGATGAGGCCGCGATTCCTGTTCCGGTGAAGCCCAGGGCAGTTAGTCCCAGGGGCACGGCCGCCACAGTCGCTGCTACGGGGGAGAGCGAGGGGGTGTAAGGTGGGCTCAGCAAGGGACAAAGGTACGAGCGAGAGGATGGACTCAGGTAACCCCGATCCCTGACCTGTTTATGCCTCTATTTTCGCTGTGACATCCTGGAACGGTCTTTCCCCTTTTCTGAGTCCTAATTCCTTTTGTGTAAAATAAATAGACTGAATCAAGCGGTAGTTTTCAATTCCCCCACTTAGCTGAGAAAAGAGTGTTTCTCCCCTAGGCACAGGGTTGACAGAGGGTCAGGCCAAGCGGTTCTGAAGAGATCATGGGCTGAGGGCCTCTATCCCTGAGGCACAGCGCCGTGTAGGGTCCTGAGTTCCCCGCCACCTCTGGGGTAGCACAGTCTTCCAGCCGCCTGGAATAAGGAGCGTGTTCTGTGTCTGAACCATCCGCAATGAGAGCTACGTGTGACTGACAAGTTCTGGCTCATGTGGGCTGGCCCCATGGCCTAGTGGTTAAGGAAACTGGATCCCACACAGCCAAACGTGGTTCAAATCCCAGCCCTTGTCTGTGCACTCCCCAAATCCTCACAGGATGGAAATATGGAGGAAAAGGGATTGTGGAGTGACAACACCCCATTGTAGGGTGCTCTTTTCCCCTCTCTCTGGCCGTGAGAAAAATTGAAAAAGATGGAATGAGCTCTGGCTCCTGTGACAGAAAGCCATATTGTCTGTCATTTTGGCCACCGCACTGGAGAACACTGCTTTCGAGCACAGCTCAGGAAGCTCTGGGCCCAGTGCACCAGCCACCAGGTGGGTAGGGCAGTTCTGAGGGAGGAGACCCACCCAGCTGCCTCATTCCCTAAACCTCACCTCAAGCATACCTACACCTCACCCCAAGCATAGCACCACTCTACCTCACAGCGGTGGAATCCCAGGCTCAGATAGGTCAAATGACTCACTCAAGATCACCTGGCTTGTACCTGCTAGAGGCCAAGAATAGACCCCAGTCTGGCTACCTCCAAAGCCCTGTGCTTAGAATGGCTTTGCTCTGTTTCCTGTGCTCTGAGGTTCTCATCAGAGGTCAAGGCCAGCTCCTTTCAGCAGCTCAGGTCAGGAACAAGAAGGGCCTTGGACTCTTTC